ACTTTTATTTTATACAACTGGAAAAGAAAAAAGCACAGAAAAATTCTTTTTTTTGAGATTTGAGTACAGGGGGTAGATTATAAAAAGGGAAGGTATTAGCACCCTTTCTATCTGTGGTTTTCCACGGGCTCTTAGGTACTTGCTCATGATTTAAAAATTGCTTTCGTGTTTGTGTGTTTTGAAAGGTTTTGTTTGACTTTGTTTTAACTCTTGCTTTTGTCTTCAAGATTGTTACAAAGTGTTTTTGAAAACTTTGCTTGAATAAGTGTAAGTGTGGAAAAGTTTGATTTTGAGAAAGTACCTACTAGCATCTACCTACTCAAAAAAAGAATGTTTCTGTTCTAGTTTCCTTTAGACAACGCTATCCCACTATTAGTAAGTAGGTAGCACCGTCGTTGGAGTTGTAAGGGTCAATTCGAAAGGGAAGTACGATCACTAAAGCAATGTTAGGACGCCTTAGTAATAACCCTAATGTTTTAAGATCATATTCGAGGCAACATTTCCGAGGTATCCTTTCCGAGGCAACATTTCCGAACGAGACATTTGATCTTTGTTTAGACAAGAGGGCGACCACTAAAACACCCTATACTTAATGATCGTTTATTAAAGGCAACCGAAGTGAGAGTATACCCTAGGAGTGTGCATGTGCGAGTGATTTGATTTCAAGTTATTATCTTTGCTCATTTAGGGTTTGCTAACTATTTTAAAATTAACATACATTCTTGTCATGCAATCCTAATATCATACATCTAACAGTTAATATTTGCGAAAATTAAAATGCAAGAAATAAAACTACGCTATTACAAGGCTTCGGGGAGGGAGATTAATTACATATCCAAAAAACCCCGTAAAACAATAAATAAACGAAAAGTCCTAATTAAACTATTACATCCCATGAGCAGTTACATTAATATTTGCAAAAATAAATAAACGCGCGATGAATCAAGAACGAGAGAGAAATTAGGATTTTGACCTCGTCTAACTTAATTAAAAGAAAAAATATTTTTTGTTGTTTTTGATTATTTTTTGAGAAAGAATAAGGTTTTAAATTAAATAAGTACAAAGCTATTTACTAATTAAATTAAATTAAGAAAATTAATTAATTTTGACCTATTTTTGTATTTTAGTTATTTTAAGAAAATAAAATAAAAATTAAATCAAATAAAACCTAATTTTCTAATTTGTTTTTAATTTATTTACAAAAAGTTAGATTAAAGTTATCCTAAAATTAAACTAATTAAATTAATTGTGACAAAATATATAAAAAACCTAAATTTGATGAAAATGATTTTTATGAGTTTTTTTGTAAAAAAGAATTAATTTTTATGTTAGAAAATAATTTAATCAAAATAATTAAATAAAAGAAAATATATAAAAGAAAAGAAAAGAGAATTGGGCTTGGTGTTCTAGTAATTGAGGGGGTATCCATAGCAAATTCTGAGCCCAAAAGCCTTGGTCCATGTTGACCTTCCTGATTCCATGTTGCATGTTTGACTAGGCCTATGGTAGACCATCACATGCCAGGCGTTGGATTTGGCTTTTTGGACATCTGGATGGCTGATCATTGAGGGCGTATGGTGGATGTCCTAGAAACCCGTGCATGGAATTATGCATAGAAAAATAATATTGAAGAACAAGGGGGCCTGGGGATCGAACCCAGGCCCTTTGGCTTTTCCACACACCTCCTTACCAACTCTGCTAGCACGCTTGTTTGTATATGAAATAACAACAATTGATAATATGTGATAACGTGAGTTAGTGGAGGAAAATAGCAAAAAGCGCGCGCCAATTTAAATGGACAAACCAGGGGGGTGCCACGCCACCCTTCTTCTTCCTCTCTCCATTTGTAAAAGTCCAAAACTTTTACCTACAGACAAAAGTCTATAGCTATAGCCCCTGTGATTTCCAGAATCTCATACACGCACCATAAATGAAAACTAATGCTACATGCCAGTTCGTCTTGGCCTTGTGAACATCATAGTACCCCTCTTTTGTGTCTCTTTTCCTTTATTTCTTTACTTGCTTTAATTTTCATACATCAATTTGTCAAATAAAATTAAGTAATCTATCGACGCGTAGGAATTTTTGAGACTGTTTTTGTTTTGAATTGTATGTTAAGCTGCTTATAATCACTTTTGATTATAAGTTTTTTTTCATATCAACACAACCCAAAGAAAAATTCCGAAACTTTGATTGCACACCATGTGTTTGACAAATTGTTTAGCTTGTTCAACTCAAAGGAAAATTGCAATGTTCTATTACTTACTCTCATTTACTCTCTATGCAATTTGTTGAATGTGTTCTTTGACCGATCGATTCATATAGAATTTTTCCTTGATTGTTAAAGTTTAAATTTCTTCTTTAATTAGATTATAACCACTTTGATTGTAAGTGTTTTTTCATATCAACAAAGCTCAAATAAAATTCTGAAAAATTGATTGTGCGCGACATGTTCGATAAAGTGTTAAGTTATGTTTTTAATATGATTTCATTGGAAATAGGAAACCGTTGTGTTTGATATTAAACTATTAATTGAAATATTATTATGTTTATTGAATTTATCATTATTTTAATTCTATATGGCTTGTGCATATCTGAGTTTCTAATAACTAGGATCGTTTAGACTACCATTTTGATCTAGGCCAAAAACCTTTGACTCAATATTGTTTTTCAAATAAATTTTTAAGTAACCATTTTAAAAGGTAATTTTTTATGGATCTATTCACCCCCCTCTAGATAATTCACCGTATTCTAAGAGTTTAGAAGATGAGCATTATATTTGATAGGATAAATCAAACCCACATATTCGAAAAACCATAGATATGTCTTTGTGGGCATCCATTACTTAGAAAATAGGTCGAGGCAGTGCCTCTGGTGAGTGTCGACCAGGACACCGTGATCAATTTCATATAGAGTCACATCATGTATAGATATGGTGTCCCTGAAACCATAACAATGGACCAAAGTTCAGTATTCGTTGGTCAAAAAGTAGTGGAATTTGCCTCAAATTCAGGAATCAAATTGTTGACATCAACTCCTTATTATGCATAGGAAATGGCCAAGTAGAAGCTACATATAAGGTCATCATAAGTTTAATCAAGAAACACATAGGCCAAAAACCAAATAATTAACATTAGACCTTGGACCAAGCACTATGGGCTTGCAAGACCTTAGCATGTAATGCGTTTTTTATCCTATATGCAAGTTGGGAACTTTATGATGTATTGTAAATGTGTATATGACATTGTGTGTGTTCATCATTGTTGACAGTTGCAGTTAGCGACTCTCAAGCAAAAAAATTGAGTAAGTGTCTTTTATCGTCTCCACAGGGATTAGTTCTACTGGATTGCCGTTCGAGAAGTCTCGTGTTTATGAGTTTGGATTTGAATGGGTTAAAAGGTAAATGCGGCAATTAAAACTTATGAACATAAAAAGAATTCATTCTTCGAACAAAAGAGAACTCTCGGGTTTTCACTTCATCTACCCTATCAAATACTTAAACTTACTACTCAGTTGCAATCAACCTAAGCTACTCATTAATATCACCACGTACCACTCACACAGAGATTATCTCTAACGCATAGTGAGATTTCAACCGTATTGCTCTCGGAGACAATTTCACGTGCAACTCAAATAACACAGAGGCATTAAAAGTTGATACTCACGTGAATACTAAGCCTTAATCTATTTCTAGAATCAAAACCTAATAGATGTTTATCCTAAATCCGGATTTGAACCGTACATGTCTGCAGCAACCCATACCCAATTAAGCAATCAATCATCAATATTGATTTGTAACGAAAGTTTCATAAAACACCATGAGTAATAAATATACATATAATATAGTTAAATTTACATACAAACTCCAACAAATACATAATACAAAGAAAATAAGAGAAGAGGAACCAAACATCTTTCGGTTTGTCAGCTCCGATCAATGAGAAATTCGACTTTGGATCATCCAAATGCCAGCTCCATTGTTGTTTTCTAAGATCTAAACTATCAAAGAATGAAGGTTGATGAAGTTGAGAATAAATACCCCAAAACCATAACCCTAGCAAATGAAATGAATCTGTTTTTATAAAACTAATTTCAGCAGACCGCACTAAGCGGACCTGGCGTGTTAAGCATTACTTCCTCTAATTTATACGTTAAACTTCCTGAACTGCGCTAAGCGGGATCAGAAAACACATCTCTGCCATAATAGTTCCAAACACACACAGCGCGCTACAAAACACGTTAAGCAACATTTCTTCCAAAACTTCATATCTGGAGTCGTGCCTTCGAGACTTTATTCCTCGATCCTCCAAATATGCAACAATAGCTACAAAAAGACATTAAAACTATCAAACGGTACATAAATGAATCAAAAACACAATAATACATAAAGTATACATATTTACACACAAAGCGAGAATTTATTCAAAGAATATTAACAAAAGAATCGATAAGTGCAACAAAACTTATATACAAAATTAACTACAATTTGCACTTACCAATCATATAGAACGATATTTTAATTTCCTTTAATAATTATTTTAAACCTTAAAAAGAAAATACATGAAATGGATTTTTGAAATAAAGCATATCTTTTTATTACCAAAAAATAGATAAGTACAAGCCGATTGCACGGATCCAGGCACCAAGACAAAACTAAGATAAACTATGAGTACTCACATTGAGATGAGCACTTAACAAATTACTCATATTACATCTCCATAAAACATTATCCATAATCCTATCAACTATATTATGGGCTATATCAATTTGAGATAAAATCTTCTCATTTCTCCATTTCCAAAGCTCATAAATAGTTTTTGCCCAAGCAACCTTTAAAATTTGATATCTCCAAGATTTTTTCCTAATCTCCAAAACTAACCAATCAATTTCCAAGTTCCAGCTCAAAGGAGTTACAGAAAAACCAATCTAATTCAAGAAATCCTTCCAAATACACAAAACAAATGGCAACAAAAAAATAGGTGATTCAAACTTCCTCTTGATTACAAAAAAAAACACTTCGGATCTAGCACCATACCGAAACAAATGAGGCTATCTTTAGTTGACAGCTTACCACTAAGGGTCATCCAAAGAGTGAAGAGAGCTATTGGTCTAGCTCGATTATCGATCATAATCCTGCGCCACACAACTTTTTCTTTATCCCCTCTAAGAGCATGATACATCTTCCTAGTTTGATATTTGTTTTTGGCTTCCACCCCCTTTCCAATAATCCACATCCTTAACAATATCTCTACACTTTATAATTCTCTTCATGATCCAAGAATAGTTGTGCTTAACATTCCAATTCATGATGTCCTTCTTTATGAGATAATATGTATTTATCCATCTAACCCACAATCTATCCGCTTTGACTTGAATATTCCAAAGCAACTTCCCTATTGTAGCTTGGTTCCACTCTCTGAGCGCGAAAATATTAAGACCACCAGCCCCTTTCGGATTATAGACCGTATCCCACGCAATGGGGCCTTCTTTGTTGGTTCACTTGTATTACTCCAAAGAAATCTCCTGCATAATGCTTCAATATGATTGATGACTTTTTGCGGCATGGGGAATATGTGCATCCAATAATTAGTCATAGCGAACAAAACACTTTTAATCAGCTGATACCGATGAAGAAAGGTGAGAGTGGAATGGCTGAGGGAGAATGGAATCAAAGAGAATGCAGAAGGAATTTGAAAGTGGTGGTGAAGAAATGAACCGTCTGTGAGGGAGCAGAGCTATGGTGGAAGGAGGTTTTAAGAGGAGTGAGAATTCAGGATTCAGTGTGAGAGAGAGGTTGTTGAAGGTTGGAGGTGAAGGATTCAGAGAAAGAGAAAATGAAGGTGAGGGAATGTAGGTTTTTAGGTGCCTTCAAGCAACACTTATGTTTATCATTATTGAAGAACAATGCTTCAAGAACTCTTTGATTGTATTTCCGCTGTCATGCTTCATTTTCATTAGTCTGGTATCAAGATTTAGGCTTAGATTGAAAGCAGAAATTGGATTTTTTCCCTATGATTCTTCTTGGAGTCCTATAAAATGTTTTTCAACCTAATTTTAAGCATAATTATCATTCTTTATTTGTGTATTTTTTGGGTTGTTTCTCATTTTAGTTGTCGTTCAATAGCTAATTAGTTGTAAATTCAAATTCTGCAGGTCATTTTTTGGTTAGCTACTGTGTTTGACATACCAGCTCAATTCCAGCGCTTTTGGGTATTTGGACTGGACAGCGGCAAAACCTGACTTGTCATTCATATCGGCTATTGACACGCATCGAGGAATCAGGATCAGTAAATTCATAAGATCTCTTGAAGCTTTTCTCTCATTTATTTTTTATCTTGAGTGTGTTTGTGACATTTTGATGTTTTTTTCTGTTCATTTTGATTTCAAATTGCAGATTGAACCGTTTAATATTGTTTCTGGAAGTGCTAACGTACCCCATCATTATATACGAATTATGTCCCACTGCACTTATAAAGATGTGTGTTCTGGTTCCCTTTCTTTTGATCCTGCGAGTGAATTTGATTTTGTTGCATTTCTAATTGAATTATGCCTATTGTTGTGCAGGAAATTATGTTTGAACCAAACGAGGTCATCGGCCCGATGGTCACAGGTATTATTGTGATATGAATGATTTTTGTTGAAATTTTGATTTTTTTTTTGTGAATGGAATTGGGTGAGACTAAGAAAAAGAATTTAGGAGTAGAAGGAAGAAACAGGAAGGTTCTTGGAGATATTGTTAATCTTGTGATTAATCCAGCAGATCTTCATGCTGCTATTGAGTCTAAGCGCATCACAAGGTTTTTTTTTGTTTTTGTTTTTAATCTGTTATTTTATTTTTGTTGAAAGGTTGTATTTGTGAATCTGTTTTTGGTGGAATTTGATGATGTTTTAGATATTAGTACCTGATGCCGTCAATGGAAACTATGTTGCTGCAAAAAAATTGGAACAAGCTCAGAAACCTGTTGAACATGAAGTTATTGTTATCAGCTCAGATGAAGAATCAATCTGAAGTGAAAGAGAAAAAGTCTCTTAAAGGAAGGAAGTTGAGAGAAAGATCTGGTTTTGTATTTAGGGTGTTGTTTTTCAATGTAGACTAATAGAATGTTTGGTCTTTTGTTTGTTTGTTAGGCTCAGGTTGCTGGTAGAAATGTGCCAAATGATATGGTTGTCCTCTTATTTTTTTTATTTCAATGTTTGCCCGTTTGTGTTGCTGTAGTCGACACCATATGCTCCCTTTTCCTAACACACCGTCTCATAATGTTGTTATTTGTAGGATTGAATTTGACCTATAATGATTCTTTACTGGATTTGATTATTTCTTTCACATGTAAGGAAACTTATTCTTTCATGCTTCAGTTATATTAGTAGTTATAATTTGATTCGTTAAACACTCTTTTCTCTATGAATGCAGTTTTGTAGATGATGCATGTTCTGCCTTAGAAGACTTTGATTAAAGTTCACAAAACAGTAGCTTGGGTTCGATGTTACCGTTCATACATGCCTCATTTTTTGGAAAATTGATAGTTCAAATTGGCAGCACCATCCATAGTTTCATTGTTGAGGTATAATTTTTTTTCCTCATTCACTAATTCTGAAGAAAATGCACATTTCCATACATGGTTCACATATAATGGCTGCACATTTTATCAACACCAATTATGAAAATCATGGTTCACATTTCCATTTCTATTACATGAACTCAATTCCATTTTTCAAATCCTACATTTTATCAAACACCAATTTTGAAAATCTTGGTTCATTATTTTTACATGAATATAATTAGACATTGTTTCATTTTATTTATAGATTCCCAATGATTCACAATGAATTTAAAAAAATGTTAAGGTATCCAAATAATTATAAGTTTCTTGATCATGTCCAATTAAAGATACAATAAGTTTCTGGTGTCATCCTTATAGTTGCTTCGTTTATAAGTTACATGAAATAGGTGGAAATTTCGAAGATATGGAAAGACATCCAAAAAAATTAAAACATGCATTGCTTATTATCGACTTTAGATCTTTGTACTTTTATTATATATAGCTTTTATCAACTTTATTATAGTTGAAAAATGTGTGTAATATATTGGTCAAATATTGTTGTAAATTATTCTTATATTAAAAATTTTAATTATAAAACTATTTATTAATGTAATAGAGCAATATTAATACAATTTCCTTATTATTTTCTCATCAATGTCATGATGATATATGTTTAATTAACTGAAGCAAAGTTCTTTGTATTTTATGTTGATATGAGTGCAAAATAGCGCACACAATATTTTTTATTGTACTTCATGTCATCAATACTCCAATTTATAATGTTTAGATTTATCAATTTAAGTTGGATTATGTGTAGTATTTTTCAGTGTACTTATTGACTTGTAGTTAGTTAGTTAGTTTGTTAAGAGTTTGTTAGAACTGTTAAACATTCTGTTTAAGTTAGTTACACAACTAAACTTGTATATAAACAAATCCATACTTTTATTATCAATAACAATGAGAGTTTATTTACTCCTATGCAATTAACATGGTATCAGGAGAAAACTCTTAAGCTTCCGTATTCTTTCATCAACGACTTTCTGGAATTGCTTCAATTCCGTTTCTTTTTTCGTTGATTCCCCATCATTCTACTTCGATTCTTTATCTTCTTGCCTTGAATCTTCATCTCCTTGCATCTATTCGCTTCTGTATCTCTTTCCTTGTCCTCTTCGATCTTGATTGTGTGATTTCAGCGTTTCTTCCATTTTTCCCTAATCTGCAACAATGGCGGCTAGAGTTGCGATTACTACTGCAAATTTGCAGGATTCAACACACGATTACTATATTCATCCCAACGAGAACCCATCCTTGGTTCTTGTTACCCCTATCCTTGATGGAAGCAATTACCATGGCTGGGCAAGAGCTATGGAGATGTCGCTGCAGATGAAGAAAAAATTCGGGTTCATTGATGGCACTATTCCGAGGCTTGCAGATAATAACCCCATGCTCTCAGCTTGGAAACGATGCAACAATCTCGTGCTTTCTTGGATTACTCATTCTGTCACACATGAGATTGCCACAAGCATTATCTGGTTTGATGCTGCTACTGATGTTTGGAAGGATCTCAAGGATCGCTTTTCTCAAGGAGATTCGGTTCGTATCTCTCATCTCCATCATGAACTTTATTCTCTGTAGCAAGGGGATTTATCCATTACTGCTTATTACACAAAAATGAAAATATTATGGGATGAAATGTGTAACTATCGCCCAATTCCTGTTTGTTCCTCCATTACTGGTTGTTGCTGTGAGGCAGTGAAGATTGTCAAGCGTTACAGGGATAATGATTGTGTGCTCTGCTTCTTAAGGGGTTTGAATGACAATTATGCTGCAGCTCGGTCTCAAATTCTTCTCATGGATCCTATGCCTGATTTACCAAAAATATTTTCCATGATTCTTCAACAAGAACGCCATCTTAATATAGTTGTATTACCTGACCCTGCAGCCATGACAGTTCAAGCAATGCCTTCACAAGCTTCATCACAAGGTTCTTATTCTGGAAAGGGCAAGCCAAGTTATCAGAAATCTTACAACAAGGTAAACATGCTTTGCTCTCACTGTGGCAGAACAAATCACAATGTTGATACCTGCTTTCAAAAGCATGGCTATCCTCCAGGTTTTCCAAATGGCTATAAGCCAAAGAAAGCCTATATTGCTGTTTCTGGAGACAGTGGCACAGTTGATGAAGCACAGTCATCTTCTAATGGTGTGGAACTCACAAGGGAACAACTTCAGAGTTTATTGGCCTTGCTTCCCTCTTCTCAACCCACCGGTAGCTCACTTTCTTCTCATCTTGTGAGCAGTCACAATGTCATTTCTAATGGCATAGGTAAGTTTTCTATGCAATGGATCATGGACTATGGGGCCACTGATCACATTGTTTGTTCTCTAACTTTCTTTGTTTCTTATTATAAGATCAGTCCCATTTCTGTTTCCTTACCAAATAAGGCAAGTGCCATGGCACATTGCATATGGACGGTTATTCTTTCTTCCACACTAACCTTACATAATGTCCTGTATGTTCCCAGTTTTGATGTTAACCTTGTTTATGTCCAACAACTCACCAAAACTTTACCAAACAGACTTGTCTTTAGTGATAATTTTTGTTGTTTACAGGACAAGATCACCTTGAAGATGATTGGGAGAGCTGAGATCAAGAATGGACTCTACATCATGATTCTACCACCTTTTCATCA